ACTCCTCCGTCCGGTCCTTAGTTGCTGGTACCTTTGGCTACATTGCTCCAGGTAATAAACTTTGTTGCTTAACATCATCTAGGGAAATTTGATTAGTGTTGTTCTTATGACTTTGCTTCTTATTACAGAGCTGGCTTACACAATGGAAGTGAATGAAAAATGTGATGTTTATAGCTTTGGTGTTGTCACAATGGAAATACTCATGGGAAGACATCCAAGTGATTTGATATCTGCTTTATTATCGCAATTGGCACCATTACCGTCTTCAACACCACCAAACTGGCGGCAAATGTTGATCAAAGATCTAATAGACCAAAGACTATTAGTTCCAACAGGTGAGACAACCGTGCATGTGGCCTCCACTGTGAGGCTAGCACTTGTATGCCTGCAAGCCAATCCTCAATATCGACCAACCATGAGACAAGTTTCTCAGGCCCTTACTAGTGAGCGGCCTCCATTGCCAAAGCCCTTCTCCATGGTAACATTGGAAGACTTGGTGGGGCAAGATTTGTAGGGCTGAGGTGTTTTGTGTAAAAAAGCTAGGTTTTTCGATTTGCGTTTCTAGTTCGATGAACTATTTCTCTTGCTTGTGATTATTTTCTTAATCGTTTGTACTTTTTCTTTTCCCCTTTTTTTCTTTGGCTGAAACTTAATCCCTTGTACTTGTTCTTCTTCATCCCTGGGGAAGGCATTCCATATCATGTTACCAATATTTGTCCAATCTTAACACAAGCTATCGATTCACATTAAAAAATAATTAGGGCAATAAGCCCCCCAATTATCTACAGCTCAAGCTACCCATAACTGGTAGTCAACTGGGCTTTCTTAAGCCCAACAAATTCGAATGTTAGAAGTTTCAATGATGTTACTAACTAAAAAAGAGCATAAAAATACCAAAATTTTCCAAGATAGCCAATCAAATGGCTGTCTTGGAACTGTGATTGTAATGCAGGTTGTCATCCAACCCCAGAAATAATATGATGCTTCTAATTCTGAACTAGAGCAGGAAAATACAATATTTAATCAATTCCATTTTTGAGGGAGAAACAAAAAGCAAGGATGTGTTAGTTCCTCCAAAACCAAATGAGATGGACAAGGCCACTCTTACCGGCATCTTTTTGAAGCAATCAAAGGCAAGAAAGCGTCATCAAAAGTGGGATCTGGTTCATTGACATTTAGCGTTAAAGGTGCAACTCCCTACAATAATATACCGGGGAAAAAAAAAGGAAAAAATGAAAACAAAAATTATTAACTTCGTTAGAAGTAAAATTCAGGAAGTCAGGCGCCAAGACTTCTAAGAGATTAGTTCTCTTTTTCCTTTTACTTTTAGAAGCAGGCACATTAGCCACTCAACAGAAAGCAGGGCGCAGACCACACTAAAGTCATGTTTAGTTTAATGGAA